TTTTTCCTTTTTTCCCCCTTTTTCTTCTTCCCCCTTCCCTTTTTTTTTTTTTTCCTCCTTCTTCTTCTCCCCTCCTTTTTTTTCCCCCTTTTTTTTTTTTCCCCTTTTTTTTTTTTTTCCCTCCTTCTTTTTTCCCCCTTCTTCTTCTTCCCCCTCCTTTTCTTCTTCCCCTTCTTCCCTTTTTTTTTTTTTTTCTTTTTTTCTTCCCCCCTTTTTTTTTCCTTTTTTTTCCTTTTTTTTTCCTTTTCCCCCCCTTCTTCCCCCTTTTTCTTCCCCCTTCCCCCCCCCCCTTTTTTTTTTTTTCCCCCCCCCCCCTTTTTTTTTTTTTCCTTTTTTTTCCTTTTTCCCCCCCTTTTCCTTTTTTTCCCCCCCTTCTTCCCCCTCCTTTTTTTTTTCCTTTTCCCCCCTTTTTCCCCCCCTTTTTTTCCCTTTTTCTTCCCCCTTTTTTTTCCCCTTTTTTCCCTTTTCTTTTCCCCCCTTCCCCCTTCCCCCTTCCCCCCCCTTTCCTTTTTTTTTTTCTTCCCCCCCTTTTTCCTTTTCCCCCCCCCCCCCCCCCCTTTTTTTTTTTCCCCCCCTTCCCCCCCTTTTTCCCCCTCCTTTTTTTTTTTTCTTCCCCCTTTTTTTTCCTTTTCCCCCTTCCCCCCCCCCCTTTTTCCCCTTTTTTTTTTTCCTTTTTTTCCCTTTTTCCCCCCCCCCCCTTTTTTTTCCCCTCTTCCTTTTTCCCCCCCTTTTTTCCCCCCCCCTTTTTCCCCCCCTCCTTCCCTTTTTTTTCCCCCCCCCCCTTTTTTTTTTCCCCCCCCCCCCCCCCCCCTTTTTTTCCTTTTTTCCCCCCCCCCCCTTTTTTTTTTTCCCTTTTCTTTTTTCCTTTTTTCCCCCCCTTTTTCCTTTTTCCCCCCCTTTTTCTTCCCCTTCCTTTTTCCCCCCTTTTTTCCCCTTTCCCCTCCTTCCCCCTTTTTCCCCCCCCCCCCCCCCCCCCCCCCCCCCTTTTTTCCCCCCCTTTTTTTTTTCCCCCCTTCCCCCTTCCCTTTTTTTTTTTTCCCGTTTTTTTCCCCCCCCCTTTTTTTTTTAAAAAACCCCCCCAAAAAAAAATTTTTCCCCCCCCCCCCCTTTTTTTTCCCCCCCCTTTTTTTTTTTTTCCCCCCCCCCCCCCTTTTTCCCGTTTCCCCCCCCTTTTTTTTCCCCCCTTTTTTTCCCCCCCCTTTTTTTTTTTTTTCCCTTTTTTTTTTCCCTTTTTTTTTCCCCCCCCCCCCTTTTTTTTTTTCCCTTTTGGGGGGGGGCCCCCCCCTTTTTTTTTTTTTCCTTTTTTCCCCCCCCCTTTTTTTTTTTTTTTTTTTTTTTTTTTTTTTTTTCCCCCCCTTTTTTTTTTTTTTTTTTTTTTCCCTTTTTTTCCCCCTTTTTTTTTTTTTAAAATTTTTTTCCCCCCCCCCTTTTTTTTTCTCCCCTTTTCCCCCCCCCCTTTTTTTCCCCCCCCCCTTTTTCCCCCCCCTTTTTTTTTCCCCTTTTTTTTTCCCCCCCCCCCCCCCCCCCTTCCCCCCCCCCCTTTTTTTTTTTCCCCCCCCCCCCCCCCCACCCCCCCTTTTTTTTTTTCCCCCCCCCCCTTTTTTTTTTTCCCCCCCCAAACCAAAAAAAAAACCCCTTTTTTTTTTGGGGGGAAAAAAAAAAAAAATTTTGGGGGGTTTTTTTCCCCAAAATGCCAAAAAAAAGGGGGGCCCCCCCCCCCTTTCCCCCCCTTTTAAAATTTTTTTGGGGGTTTTTTTGGGGGGTTTTTTTTAAAAAAAGGGGGAAAAAAAAAAATTTTTTGCCCCCCTTTTTCCCTCCTCTCCTCCCTCCTCCTCCTCCCTCCTCCTCCTCCTCTTCCTCCCCCTCCTCCCCTCCTCCTCCTCCATTGCTTTTGGTCTCAAAATCCTCCAAATCATGAAATTGATCTTCACTGACACTTCCATCTGTGTTAGAGCATCACTTGGGAAGAGAAGAGTCCCAGATTTGCTGGGGAATCACATATTTCTTACCACTAGACATGCTGAAAAATGACAACTGAAATGGCATTCCCACAATGCACCACTGGCTCCCCGATTTTTTTTATATGGTGCACACTGACCATGGAGACCCATTCTCTCACATGTGGGCCTAGCAGCTTTCTCCTGCTTGATTTGAAGCTGCTAGAATTTATGCGTATAAATACGTCAGAAACATTGGCTCGTAAGACGTATTTATACGTCGGAAACAGTCAAAGGGTTAATATGGTGCACAGTGAGTGCGCACACCCATTCTCTCATGTCTAGGCGACTCAGGCTTATTGTGGCAATGTTGAATGAATGACAAAGAAAACGTATATACAGTATACATTTGGGGTGCTATGCGAGAGAACGTATATATGCGTTTGGACCATTTAGGGGTTAATATTCAATTTCTGAATTTTTCAACTCATGACAGGTTCGTCGGAATGTAACCCCATCATAAGTCGAGGACCACCTATATAACATTATGGGAAATGACTCACAGAGTTCCTCGCGGTCCAGCTGTGATATGCCGCCACCAAAGAGGCCTTTGAAGAAGCTTTGTTTTGGCGCCTCTGGCATGTCACATGGCAGGAAAAGTTCACCAAGCATGTCCTGCATATCCTTACTGCAACAATAACAAAATTTAAACATTTTATATATACATATGCAATGATCACAAACGAGCGATAGAGATGCAAAATAACCACAAGGAGTTGAACGATAGCTCTAGGCCTTTATCACCTTGAGCTTGCAATGCTGCAGAAATGAATAGGAATACCGCATATGTTGTCAGTGGCCCTGAAACCCAACAGAAGAAGAAGAAATGAATAGGAATCTGGACTTCCTAAACATCTCTGCAACACTGCAAGCTCCTGATGATGGGTCGATTGCAACACAGAAGGTTTACATCCATTATTATACTTCCCTCTGTGTGTGTGTGTGTGTGTATATGTGTGTGTGGTTTAGAAAGACATGTAAGCAAACACTAACATATTTATTAGAAAACGTTTCGGTCCTGGGACCTTGATCACTTCTAACATATAGAGGTGTGTGTGTGTGTGTGTGTGTATATGTATGTATGATATAAATATATATATATATATATATATATAATATATAATATATATATATATATAATATATATATATATATATATAATATATATATATATATTGGATTTATGAAGGATGAGGTTAATCATAGAATTGATGAGGGGAAAAAAGGTGAGTGGTGCGTTGAGGTATATGTGGAGTCAAAAAACGTTATCTATGGAGGCAAAGAAGGGAATGTATGAAAGTATAGTAGTACCAACACTCTTATATGGGTGTGAAGCTTGGGTGGTAAATGCAGCAGCGAGGAGACGGTTGGAGGCAGTGGAGATGTCCTGTTTAAGGGCAATGTGTGGTGTAAATATTATGCAGAAAATTCGGAGTGTGGAAATTAGGAGAAGGTGTGGAGTTAATAAAAGTATTAGTCAGAGGGCAGAAGAGGGTTGTTGAGGTGGTTTGGTCATTTAGAGAGAATGGATCAAAGTAGAATGACATGGAAAGCATATAAATCTATGGGGGAAAGGGAAAGGGCGGGGTAGGGTCGTCCTCAAAAGGGTTGGAGAGAGGGGGTAAAGGAGGTTTTGTGGGTAAGGGGCTTGGACTTCCAGCAAGCGTGCGTGAGCGTGTTAGATAGGAGTGAATGGAGACGAATGGTACTTGGGACCTGACGATCTGTTGGAGTGTGAGCAGGGTAATATTTAGTGAAGGGATTCAGGGAAACCCGGTTATTTTCATATAGTCGGACTTGAGTCCTGGAAATGGGAAGTACAATGCCTGCACTTTAAAGGAGTGGTTTGGGATATTGGCAGTTTGGAGGGATATGTTGTGTATCTTTATACGTATATGCTTCTAAACTGTGTATTCTGGGCACCTCTGCAAAAGCAGTGATAATGTGTGAGTGTGGTGAAAGTGTTGAATGATGATGAAAGTATTTTCTTTTTGGGGATTTTCTTTCTTTTTTGGGTCACCCTGCCTCGGTGGGAGACGGCCGACTTGTTGAAAAAAAAAAAAAAAAAAATATATATATATATATATATATATATATATATATTATATATATATATATATATATAAATATATATATAATAATTTTTATAATTATACAGTGGAACCTCAAACATCGAACTTTCTTTCGGTCCAGAAGGCTGTTCGAGTGCCTTTACCGAATGAATTTATTCCCATCAGGAATAATGTAAATTAGATTAGTCCATTTCAGACCCTCAAAAATACACTTATAAAAGCACTTACAAAAATACACTTACATAATTGGTTGTGTTGGGAGCAGTTCGATTTTTGAGGTTCCACTGTATATATTTATTTATTAACACACTGGCCGATTCCCACCAAGGCAGGGTGGCCCACCAAGGCAGGGTGGCCCACCAAGGCAGGGTGGCCCACCAAGGCAGGGTGGCCCACCAAGGCAGGGTGGCCCGAAAAAGAAAAACTTTCACCATCATTCACTCCATCACTGTCTTGCCAGAAGGGTGCTTTACACTACAGATTTTAAACTGCAACATTAACACCTCTCCTTCAGAGTGCAGGCACTGTACTTCCCATCTCCAGGACTCAAGTCCGGCCTGCCGGTTTCCCTGAACCCCTTCATAAATGTTACTTTGCTCACACTCCAACAGCACATACAGTGGTACCTCGAGTTTTGTACAGCTCCCAACTCGAACAATTATGTAAGTGTATTTTTGGGGGTCTGAAATGCACTAATCTAATTTACATTATTCCTCATGGGGACAAATTCGTTCAGTATCGGCACTCAAACAGCCTTATGGAACGAATTAAGTTCGTAACTTGAGGTAACACTATATATATGCAGACACAAGGCCAGGAGCTATGACTCAACCCCTGCAACCACAACTAGGCTAGTACACAGGGTGTTTAAAAAAAAAAAAAAAAAGACCCAATTTGAAATTCAATTATCATTGAAACTGGGTTCACTTGTTTGGTACACCCTGTATATATACGTTACAAACAAGAGGAAAGGTAAACAACTGAAGATGGTAAACAACTCACCAGAAATCTGATGCTAGAGTGAACTTCTGTATCTCAGTGGGCGAACACAGGTACATCCCGTGGCCGTAGTTTGTGAAGCAGAAAGTCCTCGCAATTCTGATAAAAGGAATTACAACCCATGCCATTATTAAACACATCAAATATTGGAGCTACGAAAAAACACAATTCCAAGAACTTGAGTCCAGCAACACAAGTCAAAAAACACACTTATTTTTTTATATTGTATCGATATTTTAGTTTTTTTTTTTTAGTTATTAATAAATGCTTTGAAAAGGCAATATTTAAAATTTATACTTTGGTTTCAGATTAATAAATTTCGTGTATTAACTAAAAACTGCTTCCAGTACACCAAAAAAAAATAAATTCAAAATTTTTATATATATATATATATATATATATATATATATATATATATATTTTTAAATATATATATATAATATATATATATATAATATATATAATATATACACAATTTATTTAAATTCTGATTTGAGCAATGGAAAATACATTTGACATTATTTATCCCGAATTTCTCAATAACGTCTCGAAAAGCCTGTCCTATTCACTCTCGAAATTCCTGACAACTGCGTAACAGATTACAGTACTGTGGTTGAGTGCCATCAATTATCATAACTATCATAGCATCAACTATCACATCAATATTATCCCATCAGTTTAACTCTCATGTACTATATTATTCCAGACATCAGTAAATGTGCAAAAATGCTCGGATATTTTGTTTTCTCAATTTTCTCACTAATTCTTCAAACTAGGAGTTGCATTTCTCAGCGATTTAATCACCATCAAAGCCGAGCTTTTTCTAATTCTAAAGTAAATCTTACTGCGATTTCTAACAACAACAGATATAAATGCTCCTCACAAAGTTAGCAATGTTAGACTACTCTACAGTGTTGATCTTTTACTAACACAGAGTAATACAGCCAGTGCTCTTATAGAGCTCCACTATATACAGTCAGTGCTCTTATAGAGCTCCACTATATACAGTCAGTGCTCTTATAGAGCTCCACTATATACAGTCAGTGCTCTTATAAAGCTCCACTATATACAGTCAGTGCTCTTATAAAGCTCCACTATATACAGTGCTCATAATCATCATAACACAACTGCAAATATACCACAGGTTCAAATCCCGCCCTTTCTGTGGCTTGCTTTATTCTGCTCGAAAAACTCACGTTACTAGTAATGCATCTTTAAATTTCAAATTTTTTTTAGTTTATATTAGGAAAAAAGTCAAAATTTACACTGGACTAATACTCTACTCATGGTTAATTTAATGACCTAATTAACGTTTCATAAAACTGTTAGTGTCGGCAGTGCCACAATAACCGAATGCGTCTAGTCTGTTATTATGCTATATTAAGATGGAATGTAGTTTTAGATTTGAAATTTCCGGGAAAAAACTATATACAGGTAGTCCATTTACTAATGATGGTGCGGCAGCAATTACTTTGCGATGAAGCTAAGTAAGTTAAACCCAAATAAGCAGCCAGTCCATAACTTGTATTCAATTTATTTTATTTTCAATACTGGTATTAAGTTAATTAGTTGTTTTTTACTCATTCCAGTGATGGTAAGTTAGTTATTACCCCATTTAACCCCATCGTATTCATATTCGACTTACGATACAGCAAGTCCTCGACTAAACGATACAGCAGTTCGACTTACGATACAGCCAAGTCCTCGACTTACGATAAAAGCAAGTCCTCGACAACGATACAGCAAGTCCTCGACTTACGATACAGCAAGTCCTCGACTTACGATACAGCAAGTCCTCGACTTACGATACAGCAAGTCCTCGACTTACGATACAGCAAGTCCTCGACTTACGATACAGCAAGTCCTCGACTTACGATACAGCAAGTCCTCGACTTGCAGACACATTAGTGACCTCTGGAATTGTGTATAATAGTCATAATACAGGAAATCTTCAAGTTATAAACATGTTGGGGACCTGTATTGTGTATAATAATGATATACATAATAATAATATAATATTGATTTTATGCACAATACAAAAGATTCTCAAGGTGTTTGTAAGTCAGTGACTTAATGTATCTAACTTACAATGAGTTTGTCGCAACGTAACACATCTTAAGGCGAGGATCACCTGTATACTACATATAAAATCACATATCTTCATTGCTCAAATTTGAAAAAAATACAATGTAACGTTATCAATGGTTGTGAGTGTACAATAGTACAGCTCAGCCTTGTACACTGGTACTCACAGTACACCATAATGAGTAAGATGTGTACAACAGTGGTATGTTTACTGATGAGACCTTACACCTGCACAGTAATCTTCTTCAGGCAAATACCGAGGAGACGGCAGAAGCAGGATGTAGATACAAGGTGGTCAGTCCCTCAAATTTGGTGCGCGCTCAGCTCCAAGTTTTCAAAGTTATGGAGCTCAACGAACACCAAAGTTGAGGGACTGACCACCTCAAACTTACTTCTTCTGGCTGAGAGACTGATCACCTCACATCTACATCTTCACCACTTGTGTTGTCACTGTATTACAACTGAAGAAGCTTGTTGATCAGGCAAAACATCTCGTATACAGAAATACCAAACTGCCATATATACGTCTTACTAATCAAGTTACTGTTCTTGTATACTACTAACATTATACGACCACTTGTATACATACATGTATATAAGTCATAAATCCTCACCAATGAAATCTGAAATACCACTTGCACAAAAAAAAAAAAAACAAGCAAAAATGAGAAGCGTATATTTTAGCTGGGGTCAGAAAACCTTTTAAGGAGATCCACTGAAAAAGGTCTATGACCAATACCAAAAAATACACACATCTTTTACCTGTTTTTCTGCGCAATGGTTCTGACTCTTCTATATATATAGGTTTACATACTCTATCATATACTATATAGTATACATATAATATATATAATATATAATATAATATAATATATATATATATATTATATATATATATATATATATATATATATATATATAATATATATATATATATATATATATATATATATATAATATATATATATATATATATATATATATAGCAATAAGATCACAGTAAACAGGTGATTTCAGAATATGCAAAACAACCACTCTGAAAGAATAGAAAAATTCCAAGCGCTTTCGTGACTACTCACATTATCAAGGAACTACATAGTTCCTTGATAATGTGAGTAGTCACGAAAGCGCTTGGAATTTCTCTATTCTTTCAGAGTGGTTGTTTTGCATATATATATAATCATAACTACAACCCCAGGATGGTAGTTAGTATACATGTACATACATAAACATGCATTGTAACTACCACCCCAGGATGGTAGTTAGTATACATGTACATAAACACACATCATAACTACCACCCCAGGATGGTAGTTAGTATACATGTACATAAACACGCATCATAACTACCACCCCAGGATGGTAGTTAGTATACATGTACATACATAAACACACATCACAACCACCATCCCAAGACAACAGCTATGATCCACGTACATAGTTATGAATGCAGATAGTAACCAGTATCTGCAGACAAAGATATGAATATCTCTGCAAGCAAGGAGATTGACATAATGTGCCTTAAAATTACAAAGTGTGGCTGGGGGCTGGCGCTCTGTCATGGAGGAGCAGGGGAACAACACGGTACGATCTTACACCACACGTAACACGTCACACCTTGTGTACACTGCCTTTACTCCTTCATTTCAAACACTATACTCGAACCTTGATAATAAAGGTGGTAATCTACACGAGTCATTATTATACACAATTGTATTCCGCATTTAAATTCACGAATAATAGATTTATTGATTATGCAGTACGTACAATTTGCAACATGCCTCCTAAAGAATACACTGATAAATTCTTGTCAATTTCCCAGTGTAAGTAATGAATAATGAATTTATTTATTACACAGTACATATAATTTACAACATTCTTCCTCAAGAATACAATGATAAATTCTTGCCAATTTCTGAGGCGATTTTGAGCACCTTTATTTCAAGGTTTGAGAAATGAACGAGTACCAGCTGACTCGGGTAGAGGGGTCATTCACCCGGTCTGGCAACAAACTTCCGTCACAGTTGACGTATACATCTATTAGGCTGTAGCTCCAGTGCACACGGTACGGTAAGCCATGTACGTACACTTGACACATCCACTGAATGTCTTCCCTGTGTGGACTGTGCGCTGCTCATACCCTCCACTGCTGACCATATCTGCAGTAGCTTGTTATCATTATTATAGTTTTACTATTACTATTATTATTATTATTATTATTAAATTGGAGTTCTTTATATGACTCCATTTACTAGAAACAGGAATAACACATACTAATATATTATATATAGCACTCTATGCATTTTTTTAACACACTGGTTGTCTCCCACTAAGTCAGGGCAACCCAAAAATGAGGAAACACATTCATCATCATTCATTCAATCACTGTCTTGCCAGAAGTGTGCCGACAATCATACTTCAACGTGAACCTCTGAGCTGTAACATCACACCCCACCTCAGGAGTACAGGCACTAATTCCCACCTCTGTGACTCCATACTGTGTACAAAAATATATTATGTGAATGTATACAACCAGACATATACCATATACAAATAGGAATTTATATACTCATACACAATCTCAAACACACAAGATTTCATTGAAATCTTTTTATCTTGAAGGTTATAGATATAGGATATAGATACAGGTGTCCCATAGCTTGATTGCTAGCACAATCAGCTCACACACTGAGGTCCGGGGTTCGAATCTCCTCCGGTACAGCTGGAAAATGGGTACCTGGGTGTTAGTGGACTGGTGTGGGTCACATCCTGGGACAAAACTGACCTAATTTGCCTGAAATGCTCTGCATAACAAGCGGCTTTCTATATAGTAGTATGTCACTGATGTCAGCTATGGTCTGTATACCTTGTACATGTACTTGTAGCAAATAAAGATATTATTATTATATACAGTGAGAGGTGTATTTCTCTAAGCATATACATGCATATACGTACTCCCTGTTTAAGGTACTAAAGTAATTTTGTCTGGTAGTCAGGTTACGTACAGCGTTACT